GACAGCACACGGGGCTGGGCTTTGAGGTCCCTCCCAACCCAAACCAGTCTGGGATTCTCTGACTCTCTGTGTTGGGGAAGTTGTGTTTTGCTGCAGTCTGCCCCGTTCCTGGAATGTTTGATTGAATGCTCAGTGAATATTAAATGCAGCAGGAGTGTTACAGCCCCTGAAGCTGGGCTTGGACTCAGCTCCCTTTTGGCAGCCAGAAGTTTGATCATAAGATTGAAGAGCTCATCTTCTCCTTTTTTGTTTCGTATTTTTCGTGCCCAGCTGCAGGGGTTGGGAAGGTAAAGTCAGGGGTTCACCTTTCACTTCCCACCCCCTCAAAGCACCAAACTCCTCTGTGGTCAGAGCAACGTACCCAGAGAGCAGGATTTGAAACTCTGGTGGGCAAAGGTCTGTGCCCTCCAGGTCCTGGGGGTGAGACACACGGCAGCTTCTGCTGCTGCAGGAGAAAACAGATTTATTCCATGAGAGATTGTTACTCGTGCTCAGACAGTTGACGGGGAAACATTTTAAGGGCAGGTTATTTATGTAACCGCACCTCAGTGTAACCATTTTGGGCCACATCGTGAACTGCAACTCACTCACCAGTTTGTTACCGGTACAAATATTTACTGACCTAAACATACCCTAACATTTACAGCTCATCTTCTGGTGGGTGTGAATGCAACTGCCTCAGTGATGTTACAGAAGAAAGAAACAGCAGCTGGTGTTGATCCAAGCTGAGAGAGGAGCAGCTCTATCTCCAGCACACAGGCAGAGGGAAGGCCCTGTGTGTTCCGGTGGCCGTGGATATCAGTCCCAAACACTCGTGGGATGGAGGAAACTGAGCCACTCGGGCTCTGCTGGGTTTATTTCCATTGGCTGGCAGAAAAAGGAGACATCCTTTGGTGGTTTCTTCTCATGTCAACTCTGGAACGGGATAAAAGAAGCAAACACAGCATTTCATCTCGTTTGAAAAGTGTAAAAACACAAGTGCAGGAAGGAAGGTCCTCAGGGAGCCCTGTGGGTCCCTGTGCAGCCCCAAGGAGGACCCAGTTGTATCCTCCCCTTCCAGTGGACTTTGTTTTATATCCCCCTCCTCAGGCAATGTCTCCTCTATTTTTTTTTTCTGATTTCATCATTAGAAACCTTTTCCTTATCTCTGTTTTGTTGCCATCGTGTCACTGCTCTGACATCTCTCTTGGACATGGAGCACAGGTGAACAATTCCCTGCTTTTGGAAGCTTTTCACATCTTTGGAGCCTTTCACATTATGTTGCCCTCAGACCTCCTTTCCCAGCCCACACAAGCCCACCTTCCTTCACAGAGGGTGTTTCTTGTCCTCCCAGGACTGTTCCCAGCACTGGGCCCTCTCTCCACACGGCCTTGCTTGTGCTGAAAAGCAGGAAGGATTATCTTTCTGGTCAGGCACTGGGATAAGTTGCCCAGGGAGGTGGAAGAGTCCCTGGCTCTGTGTTCCAGAGGTGTCTGGATGTGGCCCTTGGGGACATGGATTAGGGGTGATCCTGGTGGTGCTGGGTTAGGGTGGGACTGGATGATCCTGAAGGGCTCTGCCAGCCTTGGTGATTCTGGGATGAAGTTTTGAAGGACAGAGGTGCCGGAATTTGCACCAAACAGGCTGGAAGGATGTGGAAAGCCTGTCACCAACCTCCCTTTCTACAGCCCATGGAGACCTTTCTGGTACCTTCAAAAAGCTTAATTGGAATATATCTACAACTTTCATCTTCATAGACAATATTTAGAGTCACAGAATCAGAGAATGCTTGGGCTGGGAGGGACCCTAAAGCCCATCCAGTGCCACCCCTGCCATGGGCAGGGACACCTTCCACCAGCCCAGGTTGCTCCAAGCCCCGTCCAACCTGGCCTGGGACACTTCCAGGGATCCAGGGGCAGCCACAGCTTCTCTGGGCAACCTGGGCCAGGGCCTCACCACCCTCACAGACAGCAATTCCTTCCCAATATCCCCTCTAAATCTGTTCTCTTTCAGCTTAAAGCCCCTTGTCCTGTCCCTCCATCCTTTGTCCAGTCCCTCTCCAGCTCTCCTGGAGCCCCTTCAGGCCCTGGAAGGGGCTCTCAGGTCTCCCTGGAGCCTGCAATTCCATTCTGATCAGCAAGCTGTGCTCTCTTGGGGCAGTTTCAGAGCCTGGTTTCACCTGTAGGTCAGCAGGGCTGAAAATCCAGCTCCTGTGCAAAGCTCCTGGTGTTATTTAATCCTCTTTGTCACAATGTTCCTCACACTGACTGGAAAAGTCCCTGCTCTGAGGAACTTCCAGTGTAGTTTCAAGAAGTGTCACGTAAACAACAGGAGCAGAGAGAAGGGAATAGAAATTAGAGACGAGATTTGAGTGATGTGATGGCAGAGCTGATGGGAAAAGGGAAGAACTGAGAGTTATTGAACGGATTCTCTGGTCTGGTGCTTTCTCTGGGGTGAAATCCCAGTGTCCCTGATGCACACCCTGCTGCTGGAGCCAGGTTTCCTCTGCAGGGCTCCCCAGTGGGGTCTCATTTGTCTTTGCCACCCCGGCACCGTGCCAGGCCCGCAGTGTTCTACAGGAGGGGCCTGCAGACATGCCGAGTTCCCCTCGGGGAACCCAGGCTCCAAGGAAGGAATATTCCCAGTGCACTGCACACGGATGGGCAGCCAAGCCTGGCTGTTCTTCCTGGTAAACAGCTCTTTGCACCTTTCTTTTCGCAGCAGCTGTATCAAGGGAAGGAGCCTCTGTGCCACTTATTCAGTAACTGGAGAATCCTACAAAGTGACGTTTTGCCAAGTCCTTAATGGCTGTTGCCCAACCCCCCTCAGGAAAAAGGGCACAAATTGCTACCACAAACCCTTATCCTGAATTTCTGGTTAAGAACCTATTTAAAAGCCTTTTCCACAGCTCATGATGGGTATTTCTGAAAGCCTTTCTGGCTCTGCTGCTCAGTGGGACTCGTTCTGCATTTGCACTTGGCAGCCAGTCAGCCTTTCCTGGAACCTCCAGGACCTGCTGGGCAGGGAGGACACCAAAGTCACCAGTGTGGAGAGGTAAAGGATGTGGAGCTGGAGGGTGTCCCTGGTCCCTTGGTTGGTCCTGGGCTCTGGTTTCTCCTTGTCCCTGAATTCTCACTCCCCTCCCTTGACTGGAACTGGCTGAACAGTCCCTTCTCTCACTGCCTTCCCTCACCACCCTCCTCTAGGATCTGTTTTGCTCACCACAAGCCCAGACTCCTCTCCCACAGTTTTCCCTGTCTCCCTATTCCTTAACCACTCTTCTCTGCTGTGCAATTCAGTAAATATATTCGGGAATAGCTTTCCAATAACTCCCAGGTCTCCAGAATGGTCTGTGTCCCTCCTGCCTTGCCAGGACACTCCGTGCCAGAGGGAGCAGCCTCCCCCTGTACCTAGCAGTTTAAATCCTGGCCCAGCTGAGTTCCCCTGGTTTGTTGGTTCATTGCCATCACAGTTCCCACAGGCTCAGCTCAGGATTAACTCTCCTCCACATTATTGTTCTCTGAAGAGGCACCAGGTGCCTGGGGAGCCTGGGGGGCCACCCAGCCCATGCGGGCACAGCCAGAGGCCACCTTGTGCCCAGGCCCCTTTTGTGGCTCTCAGGGAAGCTGTGGCTGAAGAAGAGGCCTCTCACCTCCAAAGGATTTCCTGGAAGGACTTGGCTTGGGACAGGAAGGCTTCTGAAGCAAATCAAACTGACTCCAGGTCACTCTGAAGAAACACATCTGGACTGCTTTTAGGAGCTCTTAAATCCCTGAAGGTGCTCAAGGCAAGGCTGGATGGGGTTCTGAGCAAACTGGTGGAAGGTGTCCCTGCTCTGGGGAAGGGCTGGAAGGGCTCTAAGGTCTCCTCTTCTCCAGGCTGATTCCAGTTCATTTTGGAATTCACCCTCTAAAGGCTTTCTGGGGATGACACAGACAGGAGGTTAAAGATGAGCTCACCTCAACTTCAACCCTCTTGCTTTAACAGACCCCACGTTCCACATCAACGACCAAACACACAAAGTGCCTGGGACAAACCCTCCCTGTCCCCACAGGGCTGGATGTGCTGGAAGAGGAAGCAGGATCCTGAGAACCTGCCCTTGGACACTTCCAGGGATCCAGGGGCAGCCACAGCTTCTCTGGGCACCCTGTGCCAGGTGATGTTCTTGCAGACACTTTCGCTGCTTTAATCTGAACCCAAAATATCTCTGACCAGCCAAGGTTGGTGTTTCCTCTCTCCCCCAGTTTGGCTTTTGAATGAAGCAGCACAGCCTCATCCCTGCCTCATCTCTGCCCTCAGCAGGACCTGATTCCAGCCACATCCAACAGATGGGAACTCCTGCCCTTCCTACAAAACCAGCTGCCAGAGGGAGGAAAGCTGCTTGTGCTGGGAGGGAGGAAAGGGCAGGGAATTCTCCCCCTCTCCTCTGCCAGAGCTGCCCAGCCAGCTCACACAGGCAGGGGGGGTTGTGCCAGGAGGGGTTTGTTTATCTGAAAGCAAAGAAATAAAAAGAACATATATAAGAAACTGTTTGTGTGGGAGAAGGGACAGGGATCCCATGGGGAGCTGGACTGGTATCCTTGGAGGGGTGACCCAGACACACTTCACTCGTGGCAGGTTCCTTTTGCTGACAGAATTTAATTTTTCACTCTCATTTTGATGTAATAACACACAAATGCCAGTTAATGGCACTCTCTGCCCCAGTGTTGGGCAAAACCTTTATATAAACCTTTGTAAAGCCCTGGGTAGGACCCTGGGCAGGATTGTGCACAGGGAGACCCAGCTCCCCAGACTGACATTTTTTAATTAAGAATACACATCAACAGATAAACAAAATGAACCTAATTTAACTCCCACTTTAGCTGCCAAGTTTTCCACAGACTTCACTCCATCCCATCCTAAAAACTTCACAGTTTTGCAGCAGGTAGAAAACAACTCAATAGGAAGATGATGCCACTGGGGACATCCTTAAAAACACATATAATTTTCCATAAGAAAAAATAAATCAGATCAGGTCTTTCTTTACAAAATATGCTTTTCTTTTACAAATATTTTGCTTAGTTTTTGCAATAAATAGTTCATCAGAGTTAACTAGTACTTTATATATATATATATATATATGAAAATTGCTTTTTAATGTCATAATCAGTGTCAGGTATTGCCACAACTCCTTAGGGAGCCACAACCAGCAGTGGCAATGATTGTATATTGTTTAGTTCCTCATTTACAGCCAAGTTTCTTGTACTTTAGAAAAAATAAAATGATTCTGTCAAAAGTCTGTGCCCACACCTTTGTCTATGGATTTTTACTGTCTGAAGAAAGCAGCAATAAGGAGATAAACCCAACAGTGCCTTTGTTTTCCTTCTCCAAGGAAGCATTTAGGTCTCCCCTGAAGCTGTTCCTACTCCTGAGTCGGAATCTCCTTGTTCAGAGCCCGGGGGGTGCTCTGGTGTCTCGTTGGCCTCATCCTCAGCCTCATCCCTGGGATTTTGGGAATCTCCTGGAATGACAGTCAGCTTGTCACAAATAAGATGTTCTTCTTGTGGAAGTGGAGAGAAGGACTGTGGAGCAGTGGGAGGTTTGCTCAAGAACTGTGGGAAAAAAGAGGAAATGAGAATTAGGTTGCACTGGCTGGACCATCCTGTTTGCTCAGAAATACTGTTACTGTTAAACCAGAGATATTGTTTTCCACACATCAGTCGGTTTTCTCAGTCCTCACATGTCCCAGAGGGGCAACAATGTCACATCCTCTCTAACATCCTGTTCCAGGCTTGGGAGCAAACTGGAAGTGCCTTTATTTGGAAGAATAACCCCAGGGGTGAGTGACTTCTTTGGGATAGAAACTTCCTTGAAAAAAAATCAAATACCAGGTTTGATGTGAAACAAACACTGAAAACTGTGATTTGTCTGAGGGGAAGGAGTTCACAGAGAGATCTGTTAAACACCTACGAGAAATGTGACTTGTTTGTGCCACCTCAGAGAGCAGAGACGTCAGAGTGATGCTTGAAATGTCTCCTTGAACAATAACCAAGGTGAGGGAGGGGGATGTGCAGGGCCATGGGGGTCAGTGAGGAAATGGCTTCATTTTGGTACTGAGAGAGGACACCCTCCTGCCCCTGCCTGCTCTGCTGCCAGGCTGGGACAGCCTCCTCTTCTCCAGGCTGAACAATCCCAGCCCTCTCAGCCTTTCCTCAGAGCAGAGGGGCTCCATCCCCCTCATCATCTTGGGGGGCCCTAAGAAGAAATCATTCTGAATTGAATTTTGCACAAGACACAAACTGCTCTACCAGGACTCCTGCTCAGTGTAATTAAAGAAATAAACACAGGTATTAATACTGCTGGACTATTAGGTTTTTCTAGCAAACTGTGATTTGGAATGTGCTGGCACTAACATGCAGTCACATGCACATCCTTGTTTCTTGGAGGGGATCTGCTGCAGCCCTTTTGTGTCCTCTGTGTGTAACAGGGTCCGTGGCCAGGTGAATGTTCACTGCCTCCTTTGATCCGGAATTTTCAGATCCCAGAGGATCAGAGATTCTCTGACAGCTCACCCAGTTCCAATCCCTGCCATGGGCAGGGACACCTTCCCCCAGCCCAGGTGTCTCTGGGACACTTGGCCTGGTCCAGGTTTACTTCCCTACACTCTTCACTGAAGGTAAAACTCGTTATTGCACCGGTGACAGGACTTTGTTGCAGGAGAACAAATGTGCTATTTTAAGCCCAAAATGAGGCAGGAGAGACAGAGATCTCAGTTGCTCACCAGTTAAATGGGGAACTGAAGTTGACACCTGTTATTCTCTCACTTTAAAACGAAGGAAAACATCCTGTTTCTGAGCCATATAAAGCTGCTTATTACAAATTACAGTTTGCTGGCAATCAGGTGCAAACGGAATAGGGCAAAATAAAAGAACATCTGAAGGTTTTGGCACCGAGAGCCTTGGAAAAGCAAGTGGTTCTGCTGAAAAGGCTGATTTTCGTGTGTTAGGCAGAAAACAAACCTCTTTCAAGTGTTGTGGGAAAACATATGAAGGGCAGAAAACATGCTTGGTGAGTCGGATGAGGTAAAAAAAGGAGAAGAAACAGAGAAGGACCGCTGTGGCCACGGCCAGCATGGATCCAATGAGCACTGTCACAACCACCCACACCGGAGTGACACCTGCAAGAGAGGAGGGGAAATGGTTACAGCTGCAATGATCCATTGCTGAGGGATTCCTTTCAAATGATCACTTTCCCTATGGAATGCCCCATCCCTGGGAGTGTCCCAGGCCAGGCTGGACAGGGCTTGGAGCAACCTGAGCCAGCGGAAGGTGTCCCTGCCCATGGAGAAGGGATGAGCCTTAAGGTCCCTCCCAACCCGACCCACTGTGTGATTCCATGATTTCCCAGTGCCCCCCTGCTGCCCCAGGCATTACCATTGTGGGTTGTCTTCTCACACAGCTCCCTGCTCAGCTCCCCTATCTTGTTCCAGTCGGGAATCACCGCCTGCACTTGGACACAGTAACATGTCCATGGCTCCAGCTGGGACAGGATTTCAGAGTTGTGTTGGGTATCTACCTGGGAGACCTACAGACAGAGAAAAACACCACACATGTGAAGAGCATGACAGCAGTGACTGGAATAGCTGAGGAATTAGCTAAGGAATTAGCTAAGGAATTAGCTAAGGAATGACAGTCACAGTTACAAGAGTACTGTGAAACCACTCCCACCAGTGACCTTCTGGCTGTTTCTAGCAGCATTAATGAAGTTTTAGGCTAATGAGAAGAGATAAATGAGATATGTTTGCAGACAGAAACTGTCCCCCAAGCAAATGAGATCAACTGAGAGCACTGCTACAGACAAACAGAATCTAACTGGAGAGGTAGCAAGTGGGATGGGTGAACAGGACAAGAGGAAACGGCCTCAAGCTGTGCCAGAGGAGTTTTAGACTGGAAAATAAAGTAGGGAAAATTTCTTCACCAACAAAGCTGTCAAGCCCTGGCACAGGCTGCCCAGGGAAATGGTTGAATCACCATCCCTGGAAGAGTTCAAACACGTGTGGATGTGGCACCTGGGACACAGTTTAGTGGTGAACACAGTGCTGGGTTAAGGGTTGGACTTGGTGATCTGAGGGGGCTTTTCCAACCTTCACAATTCTGGGACTCTGTGATCCAGACAAAAGGAAAACCAAAAAAAGAGAGAAAAAGGCTTCTGCAGGCTGTGAGATGACTGACAGCAGAACTTGCTGTTCAGAGGCACAATCAGTCATGTCCCTGTAAGTGCAGAGTAAAGGGGTCCCTACAGTATGTCCTGTTCTGCAGTAACAGAGCCCTTCTCGGCCTGAGGAGACTCTGTAGCCAGGTTTCAATCTCTGAGCAATCACACACCCAAAAATAAATTGTGAAGTTACACAGTCTCTGCCCTTTGCTTCTTTGATCCCTAGAAAATCACTCAGACCCCCCCTGAAGTGTTACAAGCGCAGATCCTGACTGCAGTTCCTGCTTCCTCTGGCAAATCCCTCTGAGTTTGCACCCCACATGCAGAAATACCTTCCCTTCTAGGAGGATGGGAACTGCAAACCTGGGAATTGCAAAAAAAAAGTCTGCTTTTGGGGAGATGATGATTCCTCATTTTCTGGAACTGAATTGTGCAGGGTAACAAACACAAATCAGAATTATACAAAGTGCAGCCCCATTCTGTGAAAACTGTGCTGATGTGAAAAGCACTAATTAGACAGTGACTGGTGTCTGCTGGTCTGAGGCTTTCTCTTTTCCTGTAATAGAACACATGATCCTATAATTATTATATTATTTATGATCTTTCTCCAGGTACTGTGAATGGAGAAGCCTTTGGGGCTGAGTAACACATTTGCCTGTGGAAGAGACTGTTCATGAGAGGGAGAAAGTAAATTACACAGGCAAAAATTGGAGAGGTGAGCACAGTTAATGTAAGGCCTCACCCATCTTGGGGATTCAAAGCCCAAAGTCTCCTGAAGAGGGAATAAACTCTCATAATGTAGCAGTTATTTGTAACTATGGAAAGAGAAAATTCCATCCATGCTACTGTTTAACTACACAGCCCCTGCCCTGTGCTCCCAGTCACTGTTGTAGTGACTGGGCTTGATTACACTGTAATTAGTAGAGATCTATTTGTACTTCAGCCCTGTCAGAATCCCAGAATCCCACACTGGTTTGGGTTGGGAAGGACTTTAAAGCCCACCCAGTGCCACCCCTGCCATGGGCAGGGACACCTTCCAC